TGACCCCTCTTCCCAGGACCAGGCTGTAACATCTTGGGTCTCAGGCCAGACCTCCTCCATTCAGCCACGGATACTATGTATCTTTATTTTGTCTCAGCCTTGTCGAACTATGGTTGACATTTAAAAAGTGTCTATTGTTAAGGTGCAGGATGAAATGTTTCGGTATATGTATATATTATAAAACGATTGCCACAGTCAAGCTCCTTTGCCTAGCTGTCATTTCTCTTCCTGGCCAATTTCCGCTTGGGAGGAGAAATGGAGGCCCATTCCCTTGGCAAATCCCACGCGCACAGTCTACTGCTAACTGTAGTCGCTTGCTGTGCATCTATCTGCCTTCCAGAGCCGACTCTCTTGGGAAGTATTTGACCCAATCTTGCTTATCTTACTTAGCAGAAAAATAAGTGATTCCCCCTTTATTAAGGTTGAATAATAATAAACAAGCCAAAATTCAAAAAATAATAAAAGTCCCCCACCGCATTTTACTTCCCTACTCACTTGCCAGCTAGGCATTTAAACTGTCCCTGCGTCTTGACTACTGTGAATAGTGTTGTGTTGAGCATGGCAGTGGGAAAAAAATACTTCCAAATGTGGCTTACTGACTTTGGATGCAGGCCCAGTAGAACTGCTGGATGTTTTATTTTTGAAGAGCCTCCACACTATTTATACCCCAGTGACAATGAGTAAGAGCTCTCATTTCTTTGCAGCCTTGAAAACGTTTCCCTCTTGAGTTCTTTGATAATGGGCACCCTTTCAGGGGTGAGCTGATTTTTCATTGTGGCTTGGGTTTGTATCTTCCTGTCACTGGTGAAGCTTTGCTCTCTCTCATACCCTCCCCCCGCCCCCGACCATTTATAAGTTGCTATGGCGGTCTGTCCCCTCCAACACTCCTGTGAAATGGATTGCCGCCAGGAGGTGACAAGCTTTTGATCTTCGCACCATTCAGCCCTTAGTGACTCTGCAGGGCAATCTAGATGATTCCAGAGTGTTAACACACTTCCCTGCTCTGGCCTTTTGCTCCTCACTTCAGTTGACTAAGTTTTGGACTCCAGTAATCAAGTCTCTAATTCCCAAGATGTCTGGGTCTTTTCAGGGCATCCAACCACAGCTGTGGGAATGTGCAGGTCTGTCAGCCTACTAGCTGTTTCTTCGGGTATGAAAGAAAGCATTCTGTGTAACTGGGCTCTTTCTTCCACAACACCCCTGTTCCTCAAATGCTGGGCTTCTCTTGATAACGGGCTTACTCTTTTTTTTGTTTTTCGAGACAGGGTTTCTCAATCTCTGTATTGCTTTGGATGCTGTCCTGGAACTCGCTCTGTAGACCAGGCTGGCCCCATAGAGATCTGTCTGCCTCTGCCTCCCGAGTGCTGGGATTAAAGGTGTGCGCCACCAACGCCAGGCTCGAGCTCACTCACTGTCGACTTGAGATAGTAGATTCCTTGTTAGCCTCAGTGGCGTCCTTGTAAGATGGGAGGTGACAACATGTACAGTTGTTTGGCTCAGCTTCTTTTCCAGTTGGCCTTTCTGATGCAACAAACATTTTCTCTTTCAAAATGTGACCCATTTCCTCATTCACCAAACCACAAAAGTTGTTTTTCAGCTTTTGGCTGGCTCCAAGCCGCCATTTCCTGACCTGCTTCCTCCTTACTCACAAAGAAAAAAGTCTCGTGCCTTAACCCCCCCCCCCTTCACCTTACGTCCATTCTTTGATTGGCAACTGGGGTTTGTTGGATGTGGTGGTTGAACTTCGACCAATGAGGAACAGTCCAGGTTCCCTTTTACATCAGGGATAAAACCAGGGCTCCCCCAACCCCCTGCTGGTGTCACCACCTTTGTGGGTGACAATTCTCGTGCAGAAGTGTAAGGGTGCAGACGAGACACTCTAATTACGGTAGTGGCCTCCCTCTTTGTGGCGTCAGGAATATTTCTAACTCTGCCATAAAATTCCCCAACCAAAGCAACTTAGGGGAGGAAGGGCTTAATTTCGTTCACAGTTCTGGGTTACAGGCCATCGTTTCCAGGGAGTCCCAGTAGCAGAACTGGAGACAACTGGTCCAAGTGTGTCAATGGGAAAGCAGATCACTGAATGTTGGGGTGCGGGGGGGCACTCTCCTTTTCAGTCTGGGGGCCCAGCTCATGAAATGGCACCACCCACATTCAAGGTGGGTTCCCAACACAATTAACCCATTGAGGAAACTTCCCACAGGCCAACCTCAAGCAGACACTCCAACACATTGAGACTCCCTTCCCAGGCGATTCCAGATTCTGTAAGCTGACGACTGAAACCAATCATCGCGGTGGTTGTTGGGTAAAGGAAGCCACACTTGACTTTCGGAAGCACAGGCTTCCTGTCCCTGAACAGCAATCACCAGGCTGCAAGCTTTGCCTGGCTTCTCTGGTCCAAGTTCTTACTTCTTCCCTGCTCCTGCCCCTGGGCAGACCTCCGTGACTCACGGTTTGGCCTGAGGCTCACATCTCTGAACTCTTCTGGCTACCAGCTTATAAAACTGAGTGTAGAGTCCTTCATGCTGCCCATCCTCGCAGGACCCCCCCCCCATCCATAGTCAGCAAACTCATTGCTTCAGTAAGTAGACTTGGGGGGGGGTCCTTTCTCGGGACCCATCATACCCTGTTGTGGGAAACTTTTCTAATGCGAAGGTACTTCGCCTGGGAAGGACGCATAGTTCCTGAATCGTCCTCTCTGCACAAATTAATCATTCTGGTTGGATTGTGAAGTTGAGTTCCCACAAATGGGATGGGACATGGCCACCACCTACATCACAGACAAAAGACGGCATCTGTGTCGGCCCGGGGTGTTGCTAGCCTGTCTTGGACACTGGTGCACCCTCTTTGCAAAAATGATCGCCTTGCTGCAATAGTCTCACTTTCTTTCTGTGTGTTCTCTTTGGAAACACCCAGACTTTTCTAACATTAACTGGAAACCCTCATGTCGGTCTTCAGTTTGATCCGCTTATTTTCTATGTTTTATCAGAGTTCTTGGCTCCTGAGGCGTTTCCTACATAGTTTTCTGTGAGACATGAATTTGTTTAGATCATTCCCAGCAGTTTATAACTGGGAACAGAAGGGAGAAACTACATGATGTGTCCGGTGGCTTCATGAAGGAGTGAAAGGAACTGATACAGTAACCGGCTGTCTGTAGGGAGTCAGGGACAAGGGTTCCTGGTATAAACTGCAATCTTCTCCCACTTAGAGCTCTAAGCTGAGGGATGTGTGTGTGTGTCTGTCTGTCTGTGTATCTGTGTGTGTCTATGTGTATGTCTGTTGTATGTCTGTGTGTGTCTGTGCATGTGTATGTGTGTGTATGTGTCTGCGCGTATGTCTGTGTGTGTTTGTGTTGCTGGAAATTGAGTGCAGAGCACTCTACCTCTGAGCTACATCCATAGCCCTCCTTTAACTCCTAGACCTTTAACATTCTTTAACCTCCCGAATTAAAGTATTTGTCTAGTAAACCTAACAGCTGGGCTCTCTTAAGGACCGTTTTGAGCAACCAGTGATACCATAAACATAAGCCACACTTCCATTTATTTCAAGCTCTCACATATGAAAAAGCATCTCTCTAGACAATATGACTTGGTGGCTCTGAAGAATAAAGTGCCTCCTCTCAAAGGTTTAGTGTTCTTGCTATCTATTGTCCTCAGTGGTGTGTGTGTGTGTGTGTGCGCGTGTGCGCGCACGCGCGTGCATGCGTTAATTTAGCAGCTTTCTTGGGTAAACTCTGTAGAGTCCGTCTCCCCTGTCACATGCCACCAAATGAACTCTCGGTAGATAGGTACTGGCAAGCTAACAAATGTGCAGAGATTTTTAAACAATGCTTTGGCCTAGTGAGTGTCTACACTTTGCCAAGCAACTCTGGGGGCTGAGGCACCCTCAGTCCTTAGACAGGGTCACAGGTTACCTTAGCCTTCACCTCCTTTTTGCCCAAGACCTCAAGATCAGCCAGAACTGAGAGACTGGGGATCCTTCCAGGCCTTGTTGGTCCTTAGGAACACATCAGAGATTTCCAAAATCTTCTACAAAAGTTTTATTTCCCAGAGACTCTTTTGTCAACTTTTTGGTCCCCCAGTCTCAGTTTAAATGGTATAAACTAATCATGGTGATGTTTTGTTTATGATCTAACAAATAAAGCTTCCCTAAAGATCAGAGCAAAACTAGCCACACTAGTTAGCCATAGAGGCCAGGCAGTGGAGGTACACATCTTTAATCCTAGCATTCAGGAGACAGGCAGACATATCTCTGTGAGTTCAAGGCCACCCTGAACAACACAAAATTGATCCGGTCTAAAAGAGAAGCAGAGCTCACAGAAAGGTGATCACAGCACTTGGGAACCCAGGCCTTTAATCCCAGCACTAGGGAGGCAGAGACAGGGAATGATGGCCAAGCCGAGCGAGGGATGAAGGGCAGAACACAGTAGCTCAATGCCGTCTGAGGAGCTGCAGTCTGGAGCAGGCAGTCTGAGGATGCCCTCTGAGGCCAGGATCGCCCCTCTGGCCTGAGCATTGGTAGAGGTAAGAACTCTCTAGTGGCTGGCTGCTCTGCTTCTCCGATCTTTCAGCTTGCCTCCTAATATCTGACTCTAGGCTTTTATTATTAACACCAATTAGAACTCGTGCTACAACTAATAACAATTAATATTTGACAAATGTGCCAGGATAAGAGTTCCTCCATAGAGAGAGTCCCAGGTTGGGGCTTCCTACCCATTAATACCTGCTTTCTGTCAGTGTTGGAGCTTCCTGAAGTCCCCAGAACCCAGACTGGCAGGGGCAGGGGCAGGGTTTGGTTGAGACTGGAAAGCTGGGAGTGTTGTCCCAACCCTTGCTATGTTCAGCGACAGAACCCCCGGACCTGGACACCCAGAGCCCCATGCAGTCCTTACTGCAAGTTCAGTGTGGTCAGAGAGGGCAGGATGATAGCATGTCCCCAAATGTCCTAACCAGTTCAGAGTGTCACCTCCTCTCACTGAGAACGGCAAAGGAGACAACTGATACAAAAACAAACTTTATTTTGCTGCCTCACAAATCAGCATGGAAATCACCCTGATACATGTCCCTGCTTCTGGTACGTCTGTCAGACACAGACCCATCCCTTCGTCTCCTCCACTGTAAAATGTGAGGGCTCGGGCTGTCCCTGCTACACTGGGGACTTGCCAACGTGGCCAGAAAGATTTCTCTTTGCCATAGCAACCTCTTCCAAACTTGTGCTGGGGAAGGAGTGGCTGAGCCTCCCTCACAGCTAGATCAGGCTTGGTGGCCTGTGGCCCTGCTTGCTGAGGTCCCTCCTGTCCCAGAGCCAGGTCCTGCTGCCACCCACTCCAGGGAGCTCTCTCTTCAGGAGCCTTCTCCAGTCTTCAGAGAAGGTTCTACAGACACCTCCTCAATCTGCCAGCGGCACATGGGGCACCTGGCCGAGTCTCTGAAGATGTGCCAGGCACAAGAGCTGCAGAGGTTTGAGTGACCGCAGGGGACTAGGCGGGTGTTGGGAGTGTTGTGGAAGCAGATGACACACTCCTCTCCCGATGTGACTGGCAAAGGAGACAGCCTGGGTCAGGGACACGCAGAGGGTAGGCCACCGACCTACTTGTGCTCTAACCACAGGGCAGCAAAGCACAGCGGCTAGCTAGAATGGTAAAGTGCGCACGTACTTGGTCTGGGTTGAGTCCCCAGAACCCGTGCGAAAGGACAAGCACATGCTGGCAAGGTGGAGACAGAAGTTCCTGGAACTTGCTGTCTAGAAAGGCTAGTCAATCAGTGAGAAAACCTGTATCAAAACCAAGGTGGAGAATAACGGAGGAAAACATCTGAGATCTGCCTCTGAACCACGCACGCACGCACGTATGCACGCACGCACCCACGCGGATACAACTCAATCGGTCGAGTGCTTGCTTGCCATGCACAAAGCTCCTGGGTTTGACTTCCAGCACTGAATACAACCAGTAGTGCTAGCTGGGTGGTGGCAGCGCACACCTTTAGTCCCAGCGCTTGGGAGGCAGAAACGGGCAGATCTCTGTAAATCCCAGGCCAGCCTGGTCTACAGAGCGAGTTCCAGGACAGCCAGGGTGACACAGAAAAAAACTTGTCTCGAAAAACAAAAACAAAACAAACAAAGAAAGAAAAATGAGATTAAACTAGGTTGCGATCCCAGCATTTGAAAGAGTGTTTAGAGTAAATCTAGATTTAGTGTATCTAGCGGGCAGTAGACAGTGGAGGCTTCTGTGGGAGCCTAGAAAGATGGCTTTGAACAGCCAGACTTCCCAGCCACTCCACCCGGTTGTTCGCTCACCTTCAGACTCGGGTACAGCCTCTCCATTGATGATCCAGGCGCTGGCTTTGGGATCTAAGGCAGAAAGGGAGGTTGAGGGCCAGCACGGCAGCTCCAGGAATGCACAGGCACGCATGTACGCGCGCACGCACGCACGCACGCACGCACAGTACCCTTCAGCAGCCACGCCCTTCCGGTCACATTATGAACCCAGGTGAGAGCTCGCCGGTCTTTGACCCCTGTGTAAGCGTCAAGGTCCCACCCAAACGCTTTCTCCTTTGTGAAGCTCTACCAGCCTAACGTGATTTAGGACACTGGTCATATCTTATCATCCTTTAGGACGAGGGCTAAGGCTTTTGCCCGTTTCGAGTCTCCAGTGCCCATCCTTACATTCGGCCATGGGCTGAGGGCATACTGAGCATGAACGGTTCAACCAGGGCCTCTAGACAGGTGCGTGGAGCCACCTGGAACCCTGTCTCCACGCCACACACTCCGGAACCACAGTGCTTGGGACCCCAAGGATTGTCTCACCTAGCAGCTCAATGGCTTTGGTGGTTCCATACACGTCCATCACCGCCCAGAGCGGGGCGCCCTGGACCAGCACGTCTTTGCGCAGCAAGAGGGGACGGCCCGCGTTGACCTTCGCATAGAGCCAGCCTCTCCGGTTCACCCAGAAGCAGACCACATTCCCCGCGCGAACCAAGCCCTCTGGAAGCAGCGCTGCCCACGTGGGGCTCTGCTCTTCCAGGTCCGGGCACACGAAGGGCGGCAGGCAGGACGCGGCCACGTGTGCAGGGTCCAGGCGCGTGAAGCCCACGCGGAGGCCACCGCACCAGCCGTCCTCGTGTCGCAGCACGCGCAGCGCTACACGCTCACCGGGCCACACTGGCCGCTGGCTGAACACGATGCCGTCATGGAACGTGGCGCGCCTGTGCGCCGTGCTCCGCTGCTCATCCAGATGCACCTGTGTGCCGGTGGCATCCCCGTGGAAACTAAGGGCCTCGCGGGACACCCCAGCGTCTGTGGGGCAGAGCGAGCAGCCTGTCAGTGAGGGCTCATTCTAACCCACGGGCTCCCCAGGAAGTGCCAGCACCGTAGGGGGCTCTGGCCTCCTCCTGGGGACCTCTTTCCCTGGAGCCACCTCCGCTCCCCAAACCACCTCGAGCCCCAAGGATCTGCTGAAAGCCCAATGGGCAGTCCCTTCTACCTGCCTGGGTCTGTTAACCTCCCCTGTCCCCGGCCTCTAACCCCTTCTGCCTGTTATGAAAAGAACTTGTATCTGCACCAGCCCTGTCTAAACCCAGTCCTGGGCCATGGTTATTACTGAAATTGAATAGAAAAAGCAACTTGTTTGGTGCGGTGGAGCTGTAATTCCAGCACTTTTGAGGGGTGATGGCAAGTTCCAGGCCTGCTGGATTATAAAAGGAATTCCCGGCCAGGCCAGCCCGGGCTACATAGATAGGGAACTACTGTTAAGCAAAACTAAATGAAGCCAAACACTTAGGCAACTGAACTTAATGAGGTTTATTGGATTGTTGTTGTTGTTGCTGTTTGTTTTTTGGTGTTTTCAGACAGGGTTTCTCTGAGTAGCCCTGGCTGTCCTGGAACTTGCTCTGTAGACCAAACTGGCCTCAAACTCACAGAGATTCACCCGCCTCTCTGCCTCCTGAATCCTGGGATTAAAGGCAATGTGTCACCAATGCCCAGTTGAGGTTTATGGTTTTTATTTTTTAACACTTGCATCTTTATTGGGTGCACAAGTACCAGGATGCATGGGTGGAGGTCAGAGGGCAACCTGCAGGAATCAGCCCTCTCCTTCTACCCTGTGGGTTGAGCTAAAGCCGTTCAGCTTGTCCCCAAGCTCCTTTACTCGATGAGTCACCTCATCAGCCTCTATACGAGGTGTAATAGTGTATCCTCTAGTCCGCAAGAGCAGAGCTGGCTTGCTGACTTGTGCATGCCCTGGCAGGTGGCCCGTGATGACCATGCCTTCCTCTCTGCTTCTCTAACCTCCTTTGCCAGCTGCATCAGCCTCCCTCCCCCCCCCCCCAGGTGACTTCCTGGTCCTGGGAGAGAGGGCAACCGCAGGACAGGGGTGCAATTGAGAAGGGTCTATGGAGATGCCTATGTTCAGCCAAGGCCTGGAGTGGGCATTGGACCCCAGGGACTTCTTGCACAAATGCGTTTGGCAGATGGGGGAAAAGTTCTTCTCAGCACGGGCTCTAAGAGAGCAGGAGACCTGGTCACAGAGACAGACCCTGCCTTTCCTCTTTTAGTGCGGGTGAAGAGAGGAAGCCAGCTGACTTCTGGCTGAAAAAGAAAGATGAACTCAATCTGAACTTGAGCCGGGAGAGACCCCCTCCCCCACCAGCTGGCTGGCTGCTGTGTTCCACTGGCAGATCACAAGCCTGCCTGCCTGCACTGTCACACCCCATCACTCAGCTGGGCCAGGGCCACCATGATGTGACGGACTAAGGGACTAAGAGAAGCCCAGGGATAGGCCTTGGGAGGGACCTGAGCAACAATCCTGGATAAGAGTGCATGCTGGAGACAGTAGCCTGCAACCCTGCTGAAAGAAGCCATGCACTCTGCCAAGAGCCACAAGCTAGAGCCCTGGCTCACCACTAGAGCACAAATAGAGCCCCGGCCCCATCCACTACAGCCTCGCTGGGAAGGGTTCGCATCCCCTTTGGGCCTGAGAATGTTGAACGGCTCATCTCAAAATGGTGGTCCGTCCTCCCTGGCTGTGGGCAGGGTGTCCGCCTGGTCAATGCCATCCTCGGGAGCATAGAGTATTACTGGAAGGACAGCTCTGGGAGAGAGAGGTGACTCCCGTGTCCCATCCACTCTCTGGAGGAGAATCAGGGGTCTGGCTGGGGAGGTGTCAGCTCGGGAGGAAGGGGACCACACTAGGAATGGCTTCCCAGGGGTGCAGGCGTCCCTTGGCATCCCAGGGAAAGAAAGTATTGGCCTGCTTGGCAGCTTGAGGGGCAAAGGCCTGCTGCAACTCAGGAGCCTTTACAGTGGCCTGTGAGAGCTGTGTTCTCGTGCTGTGTGTGTGTGTGTGTGTGTGTGTGATTGTGAGATCTGTGTTCTCATGCCCCGTGTGTGTGTGTGATTGTGAGAGCTGTGTTGTCATGCCCTGTGTGTGTGTGTGATTGTGAGAGCTGTGTTGTCATGCCCTGTGTGTGTGTGTGTGTGTCTGTGTGTGTGTGTGAGAGCTGTGTTCTCGTGCCCTGTGTGTGTGTGTGTGATTGTGAGAGCTGTGTTCTCATGCTGTGTGTGTGTGTGTGTGTGTGTGGTTGTGAGAGCTGTGTTGTCATGCCCCGTGTGTGTGTGTGTGTGTGTGTGATTGTGAGAGCTGTGTTCTCATGCCCCGTGTATGTGTGTGTGTGTGTGTATTGTGAGAGCTGTGTTCTCAAACCCTGTGTGTGTGGGGGGGTCTGAGGGACACACGACGCCTCCATGGGTCCCTAGGTGACCGAGGCCCTTGAGCCACCTCCCCTCAGCTGCAGGCTCAGGCCTTGTATCCCTACCTTCAGAACCCTGTTCAGCGTGCCTCTCAGGAGGGGTCACCACAGGCAAGCAACAAGGGGCCCTTGAGGCGTGGCGTCTCTACACTCCCTCTCTCTGCTGTCAATCACTGGGCGCGACCCAGGTTGAGTAGAGCTGACAGCCACCCTCACCCAGCAGGTCCTATCAAAGACCTTTAGGACTTTGCCCCCAACGGGGGCTCCGCCTTTCCTTTGTACTGAGCTCCGCTTCCTGACTTCAGGGCGGGGTCACAGCCGCACTAAAGGGGTGGACACCATCTCCATCCTGCCTTGCTCCTCCCACAGACTGAGTCTGAGCAGCCAGACAGATCCCACTGGGTTGGGGAGTGGCCAAAGTGGGCACAAGCTAACACCACTCTCTCGTTGGGTTGGTCCCAGTTGGCGGGGTTGGCACAGGATTCCGAGCTCTCTCTAGGCCCATTTCCAGGTCAGATCCCAGGCTCCATGGAACACAGTAAGTGGAGGGCTCTCTTCACACCCTGCCTTTGTGCCCCTCCCCCACTGTGGGGGAGGGGCCTTGCTGAGCTGGACTATACTAGGAAGGTTGGGACACACAATTCATGAGTGTCCTTAGGGACAGATGAAGGCAAATTACAGTCTGCAAGCAATGGCTCTGGGAATTTTAGGATCAGCTGCCCGCTCCAAGATGGCCAGCACCTTCAGGTGCCACGTATCTTCCTTGCCCTTTGTAGCCTCCTGTCCTGTAGAGAAGCACTCAGAGCTTGTAGGAGATGGGGGGGGCAGACTCAGGGAAGATCGCTTCTAGTCCTCAAACAGACCGTGTGCTCAGACACACACACAGACACACTCACACTCACACACTGACACACAGAGACACACTGACACACACACACAGAGACACACTCACACAGAGACACACTCACACACAGACACACTCACACACAGACACACTGACACACACAGACACACTGACACACACTCACACAGAGACACACACACAGACACACTCACACACAGACACACACTCACACACACAGACACTCACACAGAGACACACTCACTCACACACAGACACACTGACACACACTCACACAGAGACACACTCACACACAGACACACTCACACACAGACACACTCACACACACTCACACAGAGACACACTCACACACAGAGACACACACAGAGACACACTCACACACACACTGACACACTCACACAGAGACACACTCACACACAGACACACTCACACACAGACACACTGACACACACATAGACACACTGACACACACTCACACAGAGACACACTCACACAGAGACACACTCACACACACTCACACAGAGACACACTCACACACAGACACACTGACACACAGACACACTGACACACACTCACACAGAGACACACTCACACACACAGACACTCACACAGAGACACACTCACACACAGACACACTGACACACACAGAGACACACTGACACACACTCACACAGAGACACTCACACAGAGACACACTGACACACTCACACACTGACACACTGACACACACAGAGACACACTCACACACACTCTTGCACACAGACACACACACTCACACACAGACACACATACAGACACATACACACACAGAGAGACACACACACTCACACACACACTCTCACACACAGAGACACACACACTCACACACACACATACACACCTGCACCTGTCACACTACACCCCTTTGGCATTGCTGCCCTGCCTTGAATCCAAACACAGCTGCCACAGCAGAGGTGGCTCACGGTGTGGCTGGCCACTGTGAGTGAACCTTAGGTGCTTGCCATGGGGCCCTAAGCAGGGGTTCTGCTCCAAGGTGCATGGTTCCAGTCTCTATGCTAAGAGCTGGAATGCTATCTCCTGCCCAGTCACCCAGATCCTTCCACTCAGGAACACCATGACCACAGGTATGGCTACGTGTCTCAGAGAAACTTCCTACCTCGTTACTATTTACACTTCTGTATTTGGAGCCCTAAAGGCCACCAGGTTGGGTGACATTGTCCTCAACCTTCAGATGAAAAGACTGAGGGCCCAGGGACAAAATGACTTGCCCCCCAGTGCCATCTCTAATTTGGCAAAGCTGAAATCCCTCATCTTCTACCAGGGGTCCTAAGCTGGGGGAGAGGGCTGTTCATCTCAGCAGCCATCTTGGACATGAGTCACCCAACTTCTGCTTGGTCCCTGGGAAGACAGGAAGGAAGCTCACTCCCTCGTGCAGGCTAGCCCTTGGCAGAAACCCACTCCAGATGACAATGACCTCAAGGTCTCCACCCTCCCTATTCCAGACCTCCCTCCCACCTGCATTTCCTGCAGTCTGGACTCCAGAAGCCAGCTCAGGGCACAAAGGAGGTCTACTTACTGGCCTCGGGGCTGAGGCGGGCACCCATTAGCCTCGTCTCCTCCTAGTCCTTGGATCTAGAGACGTCTGTGAAGGCCAGTGGTAAGGTTTTCAAGACTCCGATGGTTCCCCTTTTATAGGCTGGAGGTCACGTTACAGGGTTGATGATTAATTAGATGCTCTCACGCATGACAATATCCGGGACTTTCCCCTTGATGTCTTGTGGCTCACACTAGACCCACTGCAGCAGTGGGAAAAGGAAGCAGAGCCTGTGGCTGTGGCTCTCTGACATCCATTCAGCCCTTGTCTGGGAATTATAATCACCCATGGCATGTTCGTAAACACCTGTGCCCACCTCCAGCCCTGTGTAAAGACTCTGGTGCCCCTGACCTGGAGTGAGACCTGGGCCTTGGAAGTTTCAAACAGCATGCAGGAACTCTGATATGCAGCCAACATGGCTCACCATGGCAACCCCACACACAGGAGGTGGGCAGCACCGATGAAGTAGGTCAAACTGAATGAGCTAAAAATTCTGGGCCCTGTGAAGTTGAGCCTGCCTGGTGGCTAGGGTGGTCAGGAGGCTACAGATACTCTGCACCCCCCCCAACCACCACCACCACACACCACCACCACCACCAGCAGCAGCTTAAGTCCCTCTCGAGACCCCTGATCAAGGCCCTTACAGAAATGAATTGTCCTGGGCAGTGGTGGCACGTGCCTTTAATCCCAGCACTTGGGAGGCAGAAGCAGCCAGGTCTTTGTGTGTTCAAGGCCAGCCTGGTCTACAAAATAAATTTTGGGACAGCCAGGGCTACACAGAGAAACCCTTTCTCAAAAAGCCAGAGGGGGGAGAGGGAAGGAGGAAGGGAGGGAGAGAGGGAGGGGGATATTCCTCAGCAGGGCCCTGGGCCATCCGTGAAGGGCAGTACCCTTGACTGAGGAGGGACATGGAGACTCGGAGGGCCAGGTTGTGTCTGGCGTGTTACCTTCGCAGATACCTTCCTCTTCTTTAGCTCTGGGGTCCAAGTTATAAAACAGGGAACCAGGTCTGAGGACCTCTTCCAGCTGTGCCTAAGTGAGGAGTGGTAAGAGGAAGGTAGGTGACATCAGTCGAGCCCTGGTTACCACAGACATTGCAGTAACCCCTGAACTTTTCTTTTTTCCTGCCACACCCTCGCTGAGCACCCTTTGTCTCTGCCAAAGGCAGCCGCTCAAGCCCAAGCCCCAGTCACTTGAGCCGGAGGCCCGCGCATGTGGGTCCTAAAACTTGCAGTTTGCCCAATGCCCTGGCCGGCCTGGGCTGAGAGGCTCAGGCTCCTGGCACCTCCTGGCAGGCACAGCAGTCCCTGAGCAGTGCGGGCTGCTCCTCCCCTGCTGTGGCATTGGCTGCAACTGAGAGTTCCTTCTTGATAAACCACATTCCCTGTCACAGGTATGTGTGGCACCTTATCAAGCCCCCCCTTCCCCCCCCCACTCCCCTCCCCCGGGACTTTAGCCTTTCTAGAAAATGACTGGATTAGTTGTAGGCAGGGGGTGTGGCCCCACAGGCAGGACCTGTAGCCTGCTCGGGCCAGCAGCCAGCAGGAGGAAAAGTCAGGTTAGCTCTTTAAAATACCTTTTAAATTTATTCTTTGACCGTTTCACCGGGGCATATACAGTGTACTTTTCAACCTTGGCTTTTATTCTCATTGTGTATGTTGTGTCTGTGCGTAGCTACATGTGTGCGCCTGAATGTGGTGTCCTTGGAGGCTTGGAGCTAGACTCACAGGCGTTGGTTGTAATTCCTGATGGCTGAGTCCTCCAGAGGATCAGTAAGCCCATGAATGATGATGTATTTGATTGTAACCACCCTGTCCATCTCTCGTCCCCTCCTATCCCCTCTGGACCCTTTCTTCTCCCCAACAAGTTCCTCTCCAACTTCCGTTCCTTTTTTTTTTTTTTTTTTTTATGACCCACTGAGTTTAACTAAGCTTGCCTGTAGATGCACGCATATGTGTGGGGTTACTGAATGGATCGCAGGCAACTTTCCAGTGGTTACACCCTGGGCAAAGATGACTCCCCCTCCCTCAGCAGACCGTAATTACCAAGAACCCCTCAGCTTGGGGTAGACCCTTGTGAGCCCCTCCGCCATCCAGGATTTTATTTCTGGAAGGCTCCAGGTGTCATAAAACTTTACATCCAGACTAAATCCTTGTGCTTCGCCACAGAGGTGCCCCAGAACTCTTCCCACTAGTGCGGTTGTGCAGTCAGCCAAGGCACCCATCCACAGATGAGGGAAAGGTGTGTGTGGGCAGAGCGTTTTATTCAGCCGTAAAGAATGGAGTTCTGTCTTTGGCGGGGAATGGTGAGAGTCGCGTTAAGTGAGATAAGCCAGGCTCAGAAAGATGAACGTCACTGGTTTTCTCTCCTGTACAGAATGCACACTTTAGAAAGTAAGGCACATATTGCTAGGGGGTGCAGCTCTGCGATATGATGCGTCAGCACCCAGCATGCGTGAGGTCCTGGGTTCTCCCTGGCAGCGGCAAAGGAAGGAACACTTGAAAGCACAATGGCCCTCTGTGGGTGCAGCTTTGTTGACCTGAGACAGATTTCGTCCTTATCCCAGGCTGGATAGGAATTGAAAGCAATCTTCCTACCTGGGTCTCCAAAGTTCTGGGATCACAGGCGTGAGCCACCATGCTCAGCTAGAAGGAACTCTTTGGAAAGAGGGAGGGGATCAGAGGGGAGAACAGAGCAGGAGAAGGCGAAGAGAGTTAAATATGGTCAAAGCGCATTACAAACGAGTGTGAAAAGGCCATAAGGCCATTTGTACAGGGAATATATACTAATCTCAGGGAATATATACTAATCATCTCAGGGAATATATACCAATCTCAGGGAATATATACCAATCTCAGGGAATATATACCAATCTCAGGGAATATATACCAATCTCAGGGAATATATACCAATCTCAGGGAATATATACCAATCTCAGGGAATATATACCAATCTCTCTCAGGGAATATATACCAATCTCAGGGAATATATACCAATCTCAGGGAATATATACCAATCTCAGGGAATATATACCAATCTCAGGGAATATATACCAATCTCAGGGAATATATACCAATCTCAGGGAATATATACCAATCATCTCAGGGAATATATACCAATCTCAGGGAATATATACCAATCTCTCTCAGGGAATATATACCAATCTCAGGGAATATATACCAATCTCAGGGAATATATACCAATCTCAGGGAATATATACCAATCTCAGGGAATATATACCAATCTCTCTCAGGGAATATATACCAATCTCAGGGAATATATACCAATCTCAGGGAATATATACCAATCTCAGGGAATATATACCAATCTCTCTCAGGGAATATATACCAATCTCAGGGAATATATACCAATCTCAGGGAATATATACCTATCTCAGGGAATATATACCAATCTCAGGGAATATATACTAATCTCTCTCTCTTTTTAAGACAGGGTTTCTCAATGTAGCTCTGTAGACCAGGCTGGCCTCGAACTCGCAGAGATCCACCTGCCTCTGCCTCCCGAGTGCTGGGATTAAAGGCAAGTGCTACCAACGCCGGGTTTGTCCGTCTATCTTATGTAATGTGAGTCCTAGCCATAACCCCTGTGAAGGGAAGGACAGAAATTACTCTCCTAGCCAGCGCTGAATCAGTCTTCTCTGTCCTGGAAGATGGCTGGGTGGGTAAAGGTGCTTGCTTGCCACATGACGCTGGCCACCCGAGCTCAATCTCCAGAGCCCACACAAAGCTAGGAGGTAGGAAAGGACCAAGTCCAAAAGTTGCCCTCTGAGCTACACACCCATGCTAAACATTGTATTTGTGCACACAGACATTTAAAAAAAAAGAATCGAGTTCAAAGTCATCCTTGGGCGCATAGCAAGCTTGGCCTACATCAGATCCTGCCCCCCCATCCCCCATCCCCCACTCCCCACCCCCCAGCCCCGCAAAACCTTCTGCCCTCGCTGGGTGTCTCTGCCCTCCTTAGTGGTTCCTTACTGGCTCATTGTCGGTATTTAACTGACTGGGTTGGCACATAGTAGGAGTTTTACAAATAGCAGGTCTTATTGCCATCATTCCAGCAAAGCTGGTGCCTGGGGAGGCGTGCTCCCAGGACAGGACTGGACAGGGTAATAAATAATACAGGCCATCAGAAAGAAGTGCGGCAGGGACTGGCGCGCCCTCTGCTGGCCATAGTCAGTACTGCAAGAAGCACCGAGACCCTGTGACCCCACATGGGGCCAGCAAATTGCCAGAGCACTTTCTAGAGGCCTCCACACCTCTCCCAGTCCCCACCATTGCTCTTGTGTGGATCTCTGAGAAGGATTGAACTGGTGAGCAAGCTACAGACTCCTTGGGGGCCCAGGCCTGCGTGTGGTGCAGTGTAGGCTGTCTGGAGCCTTGTGTGAACTGGGACACTGGTCCAGCCATCAGCGTCCTAGGAGCCCTAAGTCATCACATAAGACAGCAGGGGTCTGCAGTGCCAGAATGGGCACAGAAGTGGCTAGCAAGGGTTTGTCAGGTGCAAACAGGGCCCATCTGCTGACCTACCAAGAGACTGGGAGGGTAAAGGCTCTTGCGGCCATGCTTGATGGCTTGAATCCAATCCCAGGACTCACACGGTCGAAGAAGAGAACCAACTCTCACAAGTTATCCTCCGAGTGTCACATGTGCACCGTAACAATACCCCAACACACACACACACACACCCGCGCGTGCACACACACACACGCACACGCATGCATACACACACACATATATGCATACACGCATATACACACATACATACATGCACGAACGCACATACTCAAATGCGCACACACATACACACACGCACGCATGCATACACACACATACATACACACATATACACACATATACATACACACATATACACACATACATACATGCACGCACGCATATACTCACATGCGCACACACACATGTAAAAGCTGCCCATCTGCAGCCTTGGCATGGCAGTGCATGCCTAGATAGAGGCAGGAATTCAAGGCCACCTGGTCTTGTCTCATAAAAGGGGAGCAATTTCACCTTCAGAGAATACATACAGACCTGACATTGTTCCCTAAACAGCACGGTCAAACATGTTTGCATAGCATTTACACAGCACTGGGAATTCCATACATAGGTTGAACAAAGGAATATGGCTCCTTTGGTGAAATGCTTGGTTAACACAAAGTCCTGGGTTCTA